AGGTTAGCTGTTACAGTGGCACACACACAATGCAAACATGCTTTTAATATCAGGAAAAACAAATAAATGTGTTGTCTGGCTCTGAAGCTCTGCTCGTCTGATACAATGTGCAAAAGTCTCCCTAAAAGCAACGATACAAAGTATGAAACTCCCACATTTGATAATGTTTCGGCTCATAACCTCAGGCCCACTGGGTAAGATTAAGCAGAGGCAAGAACATGTCTGGTTAGATCCCTCTAAACACAAACTGCCCTTAAAAAGCGAATGAGAGCTACAGATGCTGCTTGTGCACATTTGACATGATTTTCTGTGTGTTTGCGTGGAGGACATTGAAAACGTCCTGCCCCACTTCTCTCTCCTCATTTCTTGGGGAGTGTAGAGAGGGAGACTGCTGGCTGTCCCTTTCTTTAAATAGCCTTTCCCTGGGGACACTACTACTGGACACACGCAAAGTCAGCCCTGCTAACCCACCCACATTCTCCAGTCCATTTACCCTTCACAACACAGGAAACACGTATTCAGGTATCAGCGGTGTTAAACATAGCATGTTTAAAGCATCAAAACAGAACTTGATCGGTGTCTGTTCTCCGCAACCATCTCACGTATCCTCTCACTTGTCTCCCAACCTTCCTACTTGTCCATCAAATCCTTCCGCCACTCGCTCATTCACTCAGTCTCTCTTTTTTTGCCCTCTACTGTTGCTCTTTCCCCTCACTGGCTCACTCTGCTCTCTCATTAGAGCACATCCAATTTGCAGAGAGAGGGACGATATGAATCTTATCTAAGTGCTGCTTTAATTATTCCATCTTCAAGGTGCACACCTTTTTGAGGGGGCTGGGGTTATTAAATAGTGTCCATTTTAATCAAGGCAGGCTATAGCCACAAATTGGGCAGGTAATTAAAGGTGGAATAATGAAATTCAATTGAAGAGTCTACTACATTTTTCTTTGAACTGGGTTTGGCTCATTCTGCGTTCACCAATTGGCCTTCACTGACAGGCAGTAGTCTCATGGGAGTGAACTGGATTAATTTCTAAAGGATCTCTCTCATACATCTAGTCATCCTGCGCCCCTTCTCGTAGCCAAACTCTGCTCCTTCCTATACCTGTGTTTTGAGACAAGTGGGCCAGTAATGATAGCCCTTCATCGCTTTCTTTCCTCCTAGTCTGTTCTCTCTTCCTCAGCGTCCTCAGTCTTTTCTGTACTTTGTAATGAAGCATTACTGTCTCTGTCTCCAAGGCAGACAGCAATAATTACCAGCAAAGTGAAGTAGACTGCAGTGTAGCAGCTTCATATACCACAAAAGAACCTTTAATGGGATTAGAGTGTCCCTTTTATTGTGTACCTGTCATATGGAACAAGTGGCATTTACATGTATGTATTTGTGTTTCCTTAGCAACGAGAGAAATGACAGTGTCCAGCAGATTTTTATTGTTCGTCAATCAATGCTCTAATGGTTGTGTGTTACTTTGAGCATAAATAAAAGCTTTTGAATGGAGCCTGTTAGTTGACACTTGCTCGTCAGGTATAGTGTGTTTATTGCTTGCTTTTTGTATAGCTCCAGAGGGATAAGCTAAGGGTTCCAGACGCACTGCTGTCAGCCAAAAATCACTTAAAAAGTCACACACAGCGCTTCATCATGCGACATCCACAATTCCCATCTCTCAAAATGCCTGTACATTCTCGAGCGCATAATGACAATCCTTTCCTTCCCGCCCTTCACCTCATATGCATCTATCTGCCTCCCTTCGTTGTGCCCCAAGGAGCCCATGTGCCCTATCAACTGCACTCCAAACAAACAGCCGCTGGATCAGCCAGGCTCCCTGGGAGATGCCTCAGGGAGCGAGAGAAAAGAAGAAGTAGGGAGGAGAGAAGAAAAAGCAGATGAGGAGTGGAGGAGGAGAAGAAATGAGACGCACAAGTAGGAATTGCAAAAATGACGAAAGGGTGTTAGAGAAGTGGGAGCAACAGAGACGGGGAAGGAGGCGGGGGGCTTACATGTGGGAGTGTATATGTGTTGGGAGTGTATATATGTGTGTATGTGTGGATGTATTTGTGTGTGATGTGCCTGGGGGATTGGGCTGCAGAAAGAAGGAGCTCATTAGTCCTTAGTGTACTGTATATTTCAACTCCGTCTAGGTAAATACACTCAACTAGCTAAGAGGTCCTCACACCTTGGAGTGTTGTGTAATATTCACGTGTGCACACATACAAGCCTGTGAGTGTTGTTTTTGATTTTACTGTATCTATTTGCATATTCAGATTTATAGATGCATGCATATGAAGGAGTTTGTTAGCAGCACTCCAGTTGTGTGTGTGTGTGTGTGTATTTTTCTGGGGTGGTAAGAAGAACATGGGCGACTCCCCCTCTCTCCTGCACTGTGCTCCTGTTGATGCCTTGGCAGGCCTAATGCAAAGCCTCTGTAAGCAGGTAATTAATGGGAATGAACGCTGCAGCTCTGGATGGAGAGCACAAGCATGAGGGGGGAGTTTCGATGAAAGCTGAAGAAAACTCTGAGCAGTGGAGAAATAATGGCAGCCTCAACATGACATCGTGGATGTGAAATCAAAATGGCTGCCGTGCAAAAGGCTTTTATCTTCAGTGAATGTGCTGTTTGCTGAGTCACCGCTTAGCTCTTTAGCAACGCTTTATTACTCATTTCACACATTTGAGTTTTCCATCTGTCAAACGCAATGAAGAAAAGAACTGGGTCCAGGGGGAAGAGAAACAGATGACATTGATTGATGTGATGAGCAATCCTAGACTGAATGTTAGCAAAGCCGCTGGTGTGAAAGCAGGTGGCTGCACCATCGACCCACAGCACAAAAAAACAGTGGCGAGGCGAGGCACGTCACTGAAAGGACAAATCATTTAAGCTTAATGATGCGACTGTACGTGCCACCTGCATCGAATCCAAGTTGGAAACCCAGAGCTTCTATCTATACACTGGCATCATTAGCCGGCTTGTGTCCACTTCCTGAGTCAAGGGTCACAATGACAATTCGCCAGTACCATATTTAGGAACATCACCACCATCGCTCACAGCAGTAATGAGGGAGCAGCAGATGGATGCCATTCTAGAAACCGCTTTTAATGACCGAACAGGGGATTGGGCTCCCGTCTCCAATTGGATCCTGCGGATTCTCACTCTTAAAGGGCAACTGCCAAATATCCAAGCCAAAATAGAGGCAGGAGGGCTCTCTTCTACCAATTCCCCTTTTTTTCTTAGCTGTCTTGATCTGGCGATTATACTCTGTCGTGCTTGTAGCGAGTGGAAACAGTAGATGAGAGAGAAAGGGTATTGTCCACAGTTTTTATTTCCTTTCTGTGCAGGCTCACTGGAGCTGGCTTTGGTTTTATCCAGTGTCAGCCATTTGGGAGCGCCTTGTGCTGGCCCCTAGTCCCTGATTCCCACACAATCCTGTTTTGTAAATGGATGCTTTTGATGGCCAATCAATACTGGCAGATTAGGAATAGGCTTTAGCATTACAAAGGTGGTCCCACAACACTGTAATCCCCTGCCCACTTTTGTCCCTCACACTTTTGTTAGAAACACAGCATATAAATAGTTCCTCAAAATAGACAAGCTTAAGAGCTCTTCTCTGTCCCGTTTTCTGCTTTCAACTCTCCACCACCACATTGCGCATTAATGCAGTCATTTTGTAGGCTAATATTTTTAATTGCAGCACAGAGGCTGAGAGGTAGAGAGATTAATAACATGCTTATATTCTTCACACTTGTTTACCCTTGTGTGTTTTCAGCTGAAGCTCATAACAGCCAAAGGACTGCAAAATAGCTGTTCAGAAACTAGCTGTAAGCCTCCAGGGAGGAAGCAGACGAGAGGTTATACCATGGAGGGTACAGAGACAGGGAGCATCTCCCGGTCTCGTGAGGCCCCCTCGCTGTTACCTCATTTCCCCTGTTTGTAATTAGTCACCTGTATTGGCAGTTAGCCGGTGGAGATGAGGGCCTTTCAGGACATACAAGAGACCACTGGGGGACTGTTGCAACAGGATATCAGGCCCTCTTTATCAGATCCCAGAGGGTAGCCAGGAAAACATCTTAAGCAAACATCCTCCCAGGTAGTGTCCTCATTAGTACAATCATCACTATTAACAGCATTAGTGCCAGTGTTTTGATTGCTGTCATTACCATTAGCAGCTTGAGCAGCCCAGCTACTTACCAGGAAGGGGTTGGCAGTGGGGTATGACAGGTGTTTTTATTAGGCCTTGTTGACAGCCTGGAGCCAACAGGTTGTTGTTTCAGAAGCAAACAAGCCAGGGCATTTTCTTGCGGTGTCACATTTTCTCTTAATCTGTTAGCAGTTACAGATTATCTTCCTGTTTACAAGACCATCGGGCTGTGCAGCAACTTCAATAAAGTTTCATGGCAAACAAGCAAAGCCTGTGTAAAACCTGTTTGCAGATGACAATGAGACAGCACAAAAGGACATTAACCTGTGGCTATGAGGTGTGAGGATTTTTTTTTGTGTGTAACAGAACAGAATTAAGTGCAATCTCCAGGCAGCATGTACTCGTCCCTTAACTGCTCTCGCCTTGCCCACATCGGCTTGATTCATGAGGCCATTGAGCCTTGCTGCAGCAAATTGCTTTTTCTCCCATAATGCCCTGCTGGTAACTGCATGGCATTATGGTCAGTGAAATCTCAGGCAGCCCTGATGTTCAAATATCTCTAATGAGATTCAGGCTGCACGTCACTGACTTGCCTCTCTCACCCCTGTGTCCGAGTTTTAAATCTTATCTAAAATGGCAACATGTCTCTAAACAATTATCGGCTGGCAACCAATATAGTAGGTACATAAAGAAAGAAGTACCCTCTTGTGAAAGAGGGATTGTACTGTGTTCCGAAAGAAGGGCGAACAAGGAGACAGGACAGTGTCTGGTAGAGTGGATGGAGGAGAGAAGATAATGGAGAGATAGTGTGCCTACAGGTGCACAGAGGATTTGTATTATTTCCAGCATGTTGTTGTACTGACTTACATATATCCTAGGCCATCATGATTGGCAGCTCTTGTGTCAGTGAGGGAACGCGTGCACGGGGGAATGGATGTGCTCGCACCCATGTGCAAGTGCACATTCCACTGCTGATGTCGTCCGTTTTACAGCTGACCCCGATGTGCTGTGTGCACGGTTGGGCAGAGACAGCCACCTGGGAGCACAGAGGAAGTAAAAGAAGATAGAGAAAGAAAGAAAACATTTCAGAAAAGGAAACACACAGGTCTGTTACATGTTCAGCCAGTGTCACCGAGGGACATAGCAAGGAGAGCTTGTGATAGAGACAGAGGGAAAAAGGGAGTCAGAAATAAGTCAAAGAGGTAACCGAGTGTAGTGGTACAGTACAGAGAAGCAATTCACATGATCGACAGAGCGAGGCATATATACTGTACCAACAGAGTGAGACATGTTTGAGGAGAGCATCTGAAAGTAACACTGTAAATGTGTGATATTACACCTGCCAAAACCCTCTTTGTCTTACCAGCTTCCTCTTCTCCTTATCATTATGTAGTTACATCTTGAATACCCACACAATATATATTAGAAATACAGAGAATGGAAGGAGAGAGATAAAAGAGTCCCATCAAAGATGGCAGCCATTCTCCAACTCATCTCTGTCTTTCTCATTTCAAGTGGTGCTTTTATGCACACTGTGACATCTCCCATTCCGGACCTATGATCAGGTGGTGGTACTAACAAGCATTCAACGGGGAGAGATTAAACACACAACTGTCAGACGCCACACCCGACGCATTAAATTACAGCTGCTTACATGTGACATTAAAAAACCTGCCAGGATTAGACACATCAACAAAAGAGATACAGAAAGTGAAAGAGAGGGGAGGGAGATAGGCGCTGGATGTGATGTCGAAAAAAATTAAAGCCTTTCAAATACTTACTGACTGTTCTTCTAAACTCTGAGATGGAAAGGATAGAAAGAGGGTGCAGTAGAAAGCATGCTAAAACAGGGAATAATGCCCCCAATGGGTGGCCAGGGGGGACCATAGCCCCCAAACTAAAATGACTGCCATTCATTTAAGATGCAACACATTCTCAAGAAAACAAATTATTTTTGTACTTGATTTTGAGATAAAACAGTTGAAATGGAATGTTGGATGGAGTTAATTCATACAAACTGAGATCAGCCAAGGAATTAAACAAGATGTGGTTTATTTTATACTATAATACAGTATCTTTACCTTTCTTTTAACTTGCGTAGCTTAAAATTCCTCTGCAGTATATAACCATTGTAGAGTGCCACCCCAAGATTTTCACTGGCCCCATCTGGACCACCCCACTAAATATTTTCTGTAGGCGCCACTGTGACTGCGTCTGATCTCTAGTTGGAAAGTAATGTACCCCCTGAGCCAGTACATATTTGGGGCAGCTTTTAACTGTGGGTCATCAGCAGCCTTTTATATCATCTACCCATGCAGCATGTATAATGGGAACAATCTTGCCATATTTTTTCCCATTTGACTGACAGTAGAACAAGTTGTTCAACACATGTAAATTAATAACAAGGCATTAGATTTAGAGGAATGTCTGTGTGTCAAACGTAGCACCTGACAGCTTAAATCTAAATCCCCTAGTGCATTAAATTCCAAACATCTGTTACTCCACGGAAGTAAAGAAAAAATCATTTGCAAATGCTTCAGTCTAATTGCATCCACCTTTTCCTGAGGAGCAGATGCAGACTGTACGCTCAGGGAGCGGGTCTGAAAATAACTATTGGCATCCACCCAGGACACCAACATCTTTACAGTCTAATCCTTCATTGAGGCCATTGTCAAAGCCATGGGGGTGATATTGATTGTAATCTGAAAAGAGAAATCTATGGGTTTTACACACTCAATGGCTGCCTCTCTGGTGCCTAACATGGGAGATGAATCACACCCCCCTTAAGGCCCATTATTCAGCCATTATTGGCAAATGCTTCTGCTTACTTAATTGGACAACTTTTCTGCAACTGCCAACCCCCTGGGCTGGCCAAGACAGAGCCTAAGCCAATCAGCCTAATTGATCCCAGCAAATGGTATTAGTCACCACTTGTGGTTGCTGATGGTGGGATCATTTTTGGAGAATGCATGATGAGTTAAGGCTTAATTTCTAGCAGAAGGGGAATGTTGTAGAATGTTGGCAGAGTTTATGTTTTAATACCAACAGAAATTGAAAAACTTGTTTATTTACTTTTTTGATTTGGTAACTCATTTCCAAGGAACCTTGCCAGTTTGTGTGCTACGGTCAGCTCACTGAGAAACAAATCATTAGTCTAGAAAATACTGGATTTACTCAAAGTTAAGAGGAGACATTAGATTAGTAAATAAGAACACTAGGCTGAAAAAAACAATTACAAAGCTTAATACCAATGGGCAATGTAGGCCACCCAAGCAGTCTTCTTCATGGAAAGACAGGAGACAAAAAAGGACTCTCCTAAGTGATTTAGTGTGGTCTCTGTCAGCAAACATCATTCCATGTCAGTAGATACCAAAGCTAATACGCCTCGATTGCTTGGAGAATTACGATGTTCAGAGGCACAGCCAAAGACAAAGCTGTTATTTCCAACTCGTTTCATTTCTGTGGTGTTAAAAAAAAAGAGGTGGGAGTCAGGGGTAGGTGGGTGGAGGGCGGGTTAGCAAGGGGAGAGACTTGCCCTGGAGTCAAACTTAGACTTCCAAGGCTCCTTGTGTTTCTTGTTAAAGCTCTCACAGCCAAGAATGATGCACTATTCATAGGTCCTGAATGAGAAGAAAGGTTTTGGCTCAAATAAAAATAAACAGAATCAGATACATTAAAAGCAGAGTATTTAGTTCAATTGAGTTCATCTTCATTGTAAGATAGAGTGAGGTAAGACCGAGCTGTTGTGCCATAAGGTATTATCTAATGGGTGTGTGGACAGAGGTAAGAATCTGCTGCAAATGGGTTCAATCAAGTGACTGTTGTAGTTTCTGCACATACATCAGCAACAAAATCAAAGGAAATAAAGACGAGGAGAGAGAGAGGAAGACAGAGGGGCGCTCAGCGGGCATTTTAAACACTTTGGTGTTGAGCGTACACATACGGATTCTGGTCCTATCACTCCAGCTGGAGTCAAAGACACATTTACATTCCACTGCTGATTAGAAACATAAAAAGAATATCAGGAGAATCTGTGGAGTTTGAGATTTCTAATCACACCCTCACAAGGTTTTTTTTTTGTGTGTGATCGTACCTCTTCAAGTGGAGAAGTTTGTGATAAAGTAAAAGAACAGCTTTGAATTTGATATTGTGCTTTTGATCCAATCTGGTATCTCCAATATATATAGGAGGGCAAAGGCAGAGACAGAGATATAAATAAATAAATGGGGGACGAGGAGTCAGGCCTGTGTGTGGACGCCTGCTGTCAGGTCCTTCTGTCAGTGTGAAATATTGCTGATCCCACTAGACTTCCAGTGAGGAGGTGCTCGTAATAATTCAGTCCTTGTGGGGGGTTCAAAATGTCATCTGTCTTACCTACCTCTGAGAGTACTAGTGTCCTCCAAGTAGAGTTCTACAGCATAAGGATGATTATTTATAGACCTAAGAGTGCAGGGATTTATTTAAGGAGCTATGTAAAGCTAATGCTGTTATTAGCACTGCTCATGAGCTAGCAAGGGACTGTAATACTTACATCAAATGCTGTATTTTATTCATAAATGCTGACTGACATTGAAGCAGTGCTTAAGTGTGACCAGCTACCTAACAGTGCAGTGTGCTAGATGGACTTCTGCAGGATATATTATTCTTTAAGTGCTTATACAAGCAAAATGTTGACACAGCAACGTTCCTTTTCTATCCAAAGAGAAACTGACTGCATTATACACATTAATTACCTATGGCAGGGATGATGGCTGTGGTATGCCTTTTCTGACGGGCCACTTTTAAACACTTTTTGCTTGCACACATGACCCCTTACGCAGCCCCTATCGCTCCTCAGCAAATCGATAACCCGCTCCGACAAGTGGAGACTCCCTGTCACCGGCTCCTCAGCCAATGGAAATCAATAAAAAACAATACCCATCTACATCCACAAGCTCAAAACCCATTTGTTTTTCCTGTTTACTAGTGGCGGGTGCTATTCTATCAAAATGGCCTCAGACAATGAAAAGAAGAAGTATGAGGGTGAGGGGGAAAGCAAAAACAAATATGGAGAGAAATGCCATTATTTCAGCATCTCTTGGGAAGTATTCAGTGCACAGATGGCTGATCTTTAATGTCTGTTGATGTGGATTTCCATTATTACAGTGGATGTATCTACAGTCATGTATCTAAATCTAAAAGCATGCATGTTGTTGTATTGTTTATTTTTCTTTTTTGCAACAAATGTCACTGCCACAGTCATTCCACACGTCCACATAGTCTAATTTAACATTCATATGCTGGCACTGAGCAATGTGCGTCTCGGTAATATGCTCCCTAGCTTCTTTGTGTCAGTACTTATGCTCTCACTTTCAGGAAGATGGTCTAATCCATACTCAGCTGTTAGCGACTGATATGTTTGTTGTGTATTAAATATTTGGTGGGTTTCCCTGCCTTGCTGTGATACCCACAGCATCGACTGATTGGTGGAGATTTAGTATCCGAAATGCTTCTGTGTTTGAATTACAAAATATGTGCATAGTGAAGATTGGCTGGCACGTATGCCGTTGCACTCCCACACAGGCAAACACAGAAACAAAAAGGGCTTTGTTTCAGTCAATTTAATGGATGCCACAATATGCTCTTTATAATGCACCGAGGAAAATAAAGAAACAGATAAATGAGCTGGTACTCTATGTACTATAGCATGAGTCCCTGAGTAGTGTACATTGACTCAGTAGAGGAAGTGCTCGTCGTCTTTTTTTTTTTTTTTTTTTTTTTTAAACCATGTACACCAGGGGTT